ATTCATTCAAATTTATTAAATAGAATTATTTTTTATTTAAAAAGTAATAATAAATTTTAATTATTAAAAATTAAAAGTTAAATAATTAATATTTTATATAAATATAATATATAAAATTTGTTACGAAACACGTTGTTGTTTTTTTTTTTTTCCTTTTTCCTTTTTCTTTTTTCTTTTTTGGGTACAGAGTGTAGTGATTAAATCACTGTAAATTATATAGCAACACAAAGTTTACAAACTTCTATCATATCTTCTATATATTAAGCTTTTCTGAACTTTTTTTTAATATGTCAATAATTAATTGATTGATACTATAAGAATTTGAATATATAATATTAACTCAAAATTAAAATTTTTTTATTAGTAAGTATTAACTTAATAAGACTCTAATTGGTAAATAAGAAATTGAGATCCAATGTTAATGTAAACATTATTTTCTTCATTTCAAAATAATAAATATTGTTTTATTTAACATTTATTTCACAATTAGTCACTTTTTATATTTTAACTGAAATAAATATATTTTTTATTTTAATTTTATAATCATCTCAAGACTTTAAATAAAATATTTATTTTATCTTTTAAAAAGCAAAGTAAATAAGAATAAAAATTATTCTTATATCTTTAATTTAAAAATAAAATTAAAAAAACATTAACCATTCCTAAGACGGAGGAAGTACTTCCATGATTTACAAATTCACCATCCACGGAGGGAATATTGGACATCAAAATATCCCAATTGCAAAAAAATCAAATTCCCAAAAAAAAGAACTAATTCATCCATCATAACAATCTAAATAATTTAATAATTATATCATTTCATCAGAAATAAAAAGATTTTAAATTTAAGTTACATGATATATAATTGAAATAAAATAAAAAATAAAAAATAATTATCTTTTATCGTATAACTAAAATAAAAAAAAAACTCATTGGGCTAATGATTTACCACTAAATTTAAGTGTTTAGATTTTATTAATTAAAAATTTTATTTCCATTAATGACTTAAAAAATGTCCCACACTCCCAATTTTTTCATGATATAAAAAAAAAGACTAAAAAAAAAATTGAAATATACCAATTCCGTTGGTGGTACTAGATTTTTAATAATTTTTTTTACCAGGCCACCTGTCTCCTGCCACGTGTCTGCCACTAGATACGCCTATGATCTTCCAGACTTTATTAAGGCATGGTCAACCTAGTCTTCACATTCCCTCATCATAAATTCGCGACGGGTCACAACTCAATCAACACCATCAAGTTCCCCCACGTGTCTAGCATTAAACGGCAGAAGATGCGTCTGTTTCACGACATAAATGACCGACAGTAAGGTAAACATCCGCTCTCGTACTTTTTATTAGAAGTATAGCAACGCGCCACGTATCGTATGCGAACCGTTCGTGTCCGTTGGATTACATCCATTTCCGTATTTCTAAAAAAATTCCCATTTTTCAAAATTCCATCACTTGTCCTTCACTCGTTTTTTACATTTTTTTTTCCTTTTCTCTGTCTCTTTCTTTCTGTTTCACCTGCTCTTGCAAACTTCGTTTTTTACGAACCCCTCGATTCACCGGAACCCTAACTCGATCCGCCGGAGAAATCAATGTTCCGGTGAGAGTCTCAGTTTATATTTTGCTTGCGACGAATTTGTTTCTCTTCTATTGCAGCAGTTAGTTAGTTAATTTGTGTTGTTCAGCTGTTGGTTAGGTGTGGTTGAAGAAGTCGTGGTGTTATGAAGCAGTAGATGATATTACGTTTTGGGGAGGAGTTGAGATCAAACTGACTGGATTTCGTCACCGGATGGAGGGAGGTAGCGTCTCTAGACTTACTTGCTCTGGTACTGTCCATTTCCTACTTGGTTTTTAAATAAAAAAAAAAAAAAAAGTTGGCTACTTCTTCTCTGGGTGTGTAATTAGAGGTTCGAAAGATTTTTTGTTTTTGAAGCGGTGAGTTTAACTTTGGGAAAAAGTCATGTTCTCTTTGGAATTGATGGGCGTAGTTATTATGGAGTGCTACAGTTTATGAGTTCTTTTTGAAGTTTAAAACTAATTAATACGCTTCTTCTTGCTTAAATAGTTTTGGGCTATGTGTTTTTTCTGCAGTTCAACTTTTCTGGTAGCCAACTTAAACTGACAACCTTTGACCAGTTTGAGCTGTGTTTTTCTTTTTCTATACAATTCAAATTTTCTGTTAATCTAATTTATCTTGCTTGTTTAATAGTTTGGGTTAGGGATTTTTCCATAATCCAATTTTCTGATTATTAAGTACATTTGAATATGGGTTGTTAGTTTGTTTTAACTTTTATTATTATTATTATTACTATTATTATTGTTAAGTTGATTAGTATGGCTTGTTTGGATGATATATACAGATTTTTTTTCTTTTTTCCCGTTCTATGTAGCAGGATATTGTTAGATGTTGGAGGCTTGATCGGTTGATATGTGTAATTATTTGTACCAGAACCCAATTATACCTTTTCTTCCTCTAACTGTTCAATGTTGTAGGGATATACTCATGGATTGTGATGACAATGATTTCCAAGGCCCGAATCTTCAGTTAGCTGGTGAAGGAAGTAATAAGTTTCCACCTGTTTTACGGCCTTATGCCCTTTCAAAATTTGATTTTGAAGACACCCTCCCTGGGCATCTAAGATTTGATAGCTTGGTTGAAGGTGAAGATTTTCTTGGCATTGAGAGTACCGAAGATAACCAGTGGATTGAGGACTATTCTCGGGCGAGTAGTGGGATAGGGTTTAATACAAGTGCAGCAGAATCTTGTTCAATTCCAAGGCAAGACAATGTTTGGTCTGAGGCCACTTCCTCAGAGTCAGTTGAAATGCTATTAAAATCTGTCGGGCAGGACAACATTGTTCCTGGTCAGACTGTCACTAGGGAATCAGATGCTTGTGATGAACTGGGTTGCATAATAAAGCAGATGGAGCCTACTTCGAAGCATGATGATGGTAGTTTTTCTAAAGTGGAGGATGTAGCAGGTTTAAATCCTACATTACGGCCAGCTGAGATTCCAGAAGCAAGTTCTGAGTTTAAGAATGATTTAGGGCCAGAGAAGCCTCTGGTTCAAGATGCATCAAAAACTGAGGCAGGTGATTCTGTTGATGGAGATTTGCATAGTCCAAGTACTGGCAGTGAAAATGCCAACATAGCTGTGACTAAGGGGAGTGAGCCTGTGGTTGAAAGACTGGTTGCAATTCATCAAAAGGAAGTAAGTACTTCCACTGATGATTCACTGGATGTCAGCAAAAAGGGAGATAGTTTTGCGTCATCACTAGTTGTTACTGCTGTTTCCTCCCTGCAAAATACCAGTACGGGTAGTGTTGTGTTAGATAATCTAGATGGCATGTCTCTGAAAAAAGATGTTGGTGACAAAGAGACAGATAGTTTGGAGAAGGATTGTGAGATTGATCATCATAATTTGGATGAACATCCAGTTCCAACAGGTACTTCTCATGTAGATAGCAGTTCAGCCTCTGAGAGGGAATTGAAGGAAGATGGAAATATGATTAAAACTAGTGCTATTTCTGATCCTTCTACAGTAGTCGCAAAAGAGGATTTTGCCTTCCATATGGTGGAAGGATGCAGTGAGGCTGTACATCCGGGGATTCCTGCCCAGGCCACTCAATCTGATGACCTTGTATTGTCTAAAGATTCATTTGTGGGTGATCCCTCCTTAGGAAATCTACATGATACACCACCATTGCCCCTTGATAGTATTACTGGCCTAATGGAACAGGATGGTGGGGCCAGCAACAATAACACTGAAATCTGTACCAGTTTAGAGTCCAATATGGATTCAAAGGTGCAAATTGCATGTAATCAGAGCACTATTCAGGAGGAGCAATTTTTAGAAAGTAGTGGCCAACTTGGTACAAAAAGCTTAACCGGTAAGTCTGAGGAATCTTTGTTGTCCCTTGAAGATGATAAACTTTCTAAAGGCGAATGCGATGGAAGCAGCAAGAGTTACGTGGGGGATATTTATAGTTTGAATGTCGTCTGTTCTTCAGATAAATTGACCATGAATCAAACAATTACAACTTTTGAAGGAGTTCATAATACTTCAGAAGTCTATGGAGCAGATTCTGCAAAAATATGCAAGGAAAATATAATATGTAGTAATAGTGATCCCTATAAATGCGACCGGAGAGCTTATGCTCATGAAAAACAGAGCACTGAGTTGCCAAATGACTGTAGTAATACTGAATGTGGAGATGGTAGATCTCTGGTTGTAGATAAGGAGGTCTGCTCCCCATCTTCTGTTGGGGATAAAACACTAGTTTCAAAATTACAGTGTAATGCTGTTGCTGGCAATGATTCAGGTATTGTGAACTACTTTACCATGATACAGATATAACACATTCAATTCTTTCTTTCTCCCTACCTTTCTTCCTTCCTTCCTTCACCCCTCCCTCATGTTCTTTTATTTCTTTTTTACCTCATTGCATGCTACCTGCTATGTTTGAAGTGCTAATGCAGTGTTCTGTGGCATGATAGACTGCGTCCCATTGCCTTCTGCAAAGGGTATTCTCACAAGTGAAGTTGATAAGCAGGAGGTTCAAGTGTCTCTCATGCCTTTGGTGCAGGCTCCTGCTGACAAGGAGGAAGGATCATTGAACCCAACAATTATGTTCAAAGCAAGTTTATCAAATCCCAAGGTATCTCCTGAAGGGAGAACTGAGTCACGTCTAGTTTCGAAATCTGGAGAAGGAGCTCCTTGTGGTGCTGGTGCTGGTGCTGAGTTCTCCTGCAAGGCTGTTGATAAGTCCTTACGAATGGTAGATGCCTCCGATTCTACAAGCCAAATTGACCAACAGGCAGCTCTGCTTCCTGCGGCTACTCAGGAGTGCAGCAAGGAAACAAAAACTTCTACAATTTTCTCTGATACAACAGTGAAGGAGAGTGGTAGAGATGAAGCAAAAGTTATCTCTAAAAAGCAAGAGGAAGGAAACAATGAAGAAAATCATGGAAGTGCTTCTTCAAAAGTTACAGGTGATCTTCAAGTGTTTTTTCTTCTTTTTTTTTTTAATGTTGAATGGCTGTGCAAGTTATGGATGAGAAGTTTGCTCTTCCTGGGAGAGTGTTTTTAAATGGTGTAGTCATTCTTTTGTATTTTATTTGTAATTATATTGCTGTCATAGTAGTCCCTCATGAAAACTATTGTTTTTTATCTTGTGTCATCATTACTTGAATATTCCTCGTTATCCTAATGGGTTTAATTTATCTCAATGGTAATTAATCGAATCCAATTTCTAGTAATCTATGGTGAAATTCCACCTTGTGCACCTGTCACAAATTGGAATTCACTCCAAAGTTATGTTTTTTTTTTTCCCCTTTTATATACAACTAGTTTCTCTAACTATGGAACTCCATCAAATTAACATTTGCAACTAAATTTTTTTACACAGATTCTGAACTTCCACAGAGGAATGAAGAGATGTTCAACAATCAAGTGCCTTCATCTAACAATACTGAACAAGATGGTAGGAAAGATAAGGAGACTGCATCAACTTCTGGAGATAAGAACAGTGGACAGATTGCCACTCCAAGCACTGATAGTGAGTCATTTAATATCATCTTACTTTCAAATAAGATAATTCTATTTTTGTGCCTCTTATTATTATTATTATTATTAGTATTGATTCTTTGCCGTTAGGTTGGTTATTTGTTCCATGAAACCACCGATTACTTGGTAGATTGGGAACGTGACTCATCTGTGGGGAAGTGGATTGTAGGGGATAGATTTTATGGTTGTTTTGTTGTTTGGTTATACTTTTGCCTCTAACTTGCTAATTCCTTAATGCTGTCTGCAACTCTGCATGTGTGGGGAAATTTATTATCTGTTCATCTGTTTATTTGTTGCAAAAAGTGAATTTCTTCTTCTCCCTCAGGGTTGTGCACTTCCAGTAAGTCAATTGCATGCTTAGCCTTTGGAATTTTTTAACTTTTTCTATAGGGTAGCGATGATGAACCCTTGCATCATGTCTTCCTGCTTGCCAATTTTGTTCATGTCCATTTATTATTTCTTAATATCATTTGGCAGGCAATTGTTTAAAACATTGAAACTGTTCTTTTACAGCCCCTTCATCTGAATCTTAAACTAAATTTATGCAGTGGAAAGCGGATGTAGTTCTCCAATTGTCATCAGAACTTCTGAGCCTTCTCAGAGTGAAGCTGAAAAGGAGAGAGTCAAAGGATCCACAGACCAGAATGGTGTTGCATCAGGAGTTGATGATGGGGTTTCTAAGGATCCAAAAGGAAATGCTAATGATATATCTGCAGGTGATAGAAGTTTCACCTTTGAGGTCCCTCCATTGGCAGAATTGTCTGAAAAAGAAACTGGCAAGAATTGGCAACCCTTTCCTTCCATGCAACAGGGCAAAGCACCTTTGGTAAATGCTAATTGTTTCTCGAATGTATGCTTTATTTGCTGGTTATGTTTATAGAAGTTGGTATCTTCCAATTTCCAGAGCTTTTTCTATCACCACTTAAATTGCAATTTGATTCTACTGTCTGAACTACTTCATTCTTACAGTCTGTCTTTCCTCTCCTCTTTTTCATGTATGTATAAAAAGCAGAGTATGGGGGGATCTCCTTCAACTTCTAGCTTAAGCCAAGTGGATATCAAAACTTCCGAAGATGCATCTCATGGAAATCTTAAGGCATCTGAGAAGAACATTGGACGAGGTGGCTCCAAAGGTTCTTCTGAACGTAAACCCAGGAGAGTATCTAGTAAAGGCACAGGAAGAGAAGCTGCTAAAAGGGGAAACCCTGTTAAGGAAATAACACCTCCAAGGCAATCTGTTCGACGCGATAGAGCAGGCAATGCATCCCTGAGTTCATCTGGAATTTCACAGCTTGTGCATTCCAATGAGATTTCACACTATGGACGCGTTGAAGGCAGTAGTATGAAACCATTTGGTGTTTTTCCTTCTCTGTCGAGTCTGCCTGATCTAAATACTGCAGCTTCTTCAGCTGCAATGTTTCATCAGCCTTTTACAGATCTGCAACAAGTCCAATTACGTGCTCAAATATTTGTTTATGGAGCTCTTATGTGAGTCCTGCAGTTTTAATTGTATGTTTATTTATTTTAAGTAGAATTTTTGGGAATAACAATCAGTGGGTTTGACAATCTGTTTTCTGAATTTACATGTTGTGCTTGTGAATGTGTGTTGATGCCATTGACTTGTGATTACTTGAGCATGTCTATCTAACTATTTTGGAAAAATGGTTGCAGTCAAGGAATAGCACCTGATGAGGCATACATGATATCAGCATTTGGGGGAGCTGGTTAGGCTTGCTTATTTTGTGTGTTTTTTTTAAAAAAAAATTATTTTTAACCTTGAAGTTTGAAGTTTCCTTGTTAATTTTAGTCACTTTCTTGCACTTCTTGTAGATGGAGGAAAGAGCTTATGGGAGAAGAACTGGCGTGCATGTATAGAGAGATTGCATGGTCAAAAATCTCATCCCATTAATCCAGAAACTCCTCTGCAATCACACTTAGGTATTTCTTCAATATAAGGACACTCTGTTTCTCTTGATTTACCTTTATATGACCTTGTTCATGATTGATATCTCAGCTGCCAAAACTGATCAAGCGATGAAACAAAATGCACTTCAGAATAAGGTTACCTCCTCACCTGCTAGTCGAGCAACCAGCAAAGCTACCCCAACAACAATTGTAAACCCCATCATACCCCTTTCATCACCATTATGGAATGTTCCAACCCCTTCTGGTGATGCTCTTCATCCTGCTGGCATGCCAAGGGGTGCAGTTATGGATTATCAGCCGGCACTTTCCCCATTGCATCCTCATCAAACTCCTCCCATCAGAAATTTTGTCAATGCTCCTTGGGTTTCCCAGTCCCCTTTTCGTGCCCCCTGGGTTTCACAGACCAATGCATTGGACGCTAGTGCTCGTCTTCCTTTTCTGCCTGTCACAGAACCAGTGAACTTGACACCTGCAAGAGAATCACTGGGACCTCTTTCTTCTGGGGCAAAGCAGGCTTCTCCAGTTCCTGTGGTTCAGAGTGGTAGTCCTGCTAACGTTTTGGCAGGGACTCCTCTACCTGACCCTAAGAAGGCAGTAGTAGCCCCTGGTCAGCGCTCTTCCGAACCTAAGTCTAGGAAAAGAAAGAAGGTACCTGTTCATGAGGATCCTGGACATGTTATCTTAAAGTCACATTCTCAAACAGCAACTCACTCTGCACCTGTTTCAACTAGTAGTGTTAGTCAAGTTGTTTCCATCATTGCTCCCAATACCATTGTGTCCAAATCCACTGAAAAATTCATTATGCCTGTAGCTCCTATAATTACTCCAGTTCACCTGCAAAATGTTGACCGGGATGCAGGCCAGAAAGCGACTTTGTCTGAGGAGACCCATGGTAAACTACAGGAGTCTCAGATACAGGCAATGGATGCTGCTGCTATTGCTGCTGCTGCTGTTAGTCATGGTCGAGAAATATGGAATGAGTTGAGCAAGCACAGAAATTCAGGATTGGCCAATGATGTTGAGACTCAATTAACATCTGCTGCTGTTGCAATAGCCGCAGCAGCTACTGTTGCAAAGGCAGCAGCTGCAGCTGCCAATGTTGCATCAAATGCTGCCTTGCAAGCAAAATTGATGGCTGATGAAGCATTGGTTTCAATTGGTAGCAGAAATTATGTTCAAACTAATGCAATCTCTTGTGATGGTGTGAAAAATATGGGCCAGCCTACACCTGCATCCATCTTGAAGGGTGAAGATGCAACAAATAGTTCTAATTCTATTATTATTGCTGCAAAAGAGGCTGCTAGGAGGAGGGTAGAAGCTGCTTCAGCTGCCTCGAAGCATGCTGAAAATGTGGCTGCTATTGTCAAAGCTGCAGAGCTGGCAGCTGAAGCTGTGTCACAAGCTGGAACAATTGTTGCTATGGGTGGACCTTTCTCCTTGAGTGAGTTGGTAGAAGGTGGTCCAGAAGCTTATTGGAGAGTACAAAAAGTATCTTCTGAACAAGTCATGAAGTTAAATGACATGAACAGGGAGCAGTTGGGCAGAGGTGGCCATGAAGAAGGTCAAGGTGCATCTGCTGCACATTCAAAGGAGATTTCATTGGAGAAGGAAACTCAGAGTGCTAACCATGGTATATCACTTTCTTAAAGAAAATTTTGTGTAGTCTATGGACCATAATTGGTTGAAAAATGGCTTTTCAGGTCCTTCAACAAGTGGGAAGAATAAAAAAGGACAAAAGGGCCGTATAGCTCCAGATTTAGCTAAAACCACAGAGGCAGTTCCTGAAACCAAGAATGACTTAAGATTATCATCGATCACCACTCATGAGAAGGAAGTGGAAGCTATAAAAGAAATGAACATTGGGGAGGGTTCTCTTGTAGAGGTTTGTAAGCTTCACTTGAAATATCTCAACTTTAATGACCAGTGGGGACAAAAACTTTGAACTTGATTAATTATGATTTTTCCTTATCTAGCTAATGCATTTATAAATTGTTTTGAGTTTCTATGTTGGTAATATCATCTATGACAAATTTTATGGACAGTTTTACTCCATGTCTATACAGTGAATGCAATGTTGTGGTTGTGGTCAGATAAATGTTTTATGATTTTGATGTATTTGGATATCAATTTTTAAATTTATGTTCTTTCTTTAAGGTATTACGAGTTGGAGGTGGATCAAAAGGGGCCTGGTTCTTGGCAAATGTTCTTAGTTTGAGGGATGGAAAAGCATGTGTGTGTTACCAAGAACTTCAATCAGAAGAGGGTAAGCTATTACATTTCGAGTTGCTTGTTTGAAGGAATTAACTAATTTTTGAGCTAGAAATGAGTTGGAGAATCCTTGTCCTTAGTGTCTGGATCACGGTTGAGGTTGATGTGATGCAAGTTTACTTGTGCATTATCCTAGTTGAAGTACTTCTATGATTTATATGTGGTTCTTTTCTTTAAGAGTTTTATTGCATGTTCCTCGTTCAAAATAAGGAATTTTACAGTCTGTTGGGTGCATATCTGCCTCCTATCTTTTTAGTGATATAGCTGATTTTTACAGCATAACGGCACATAATATTTAGCAAAACCAAAATAGCAGATTGTCATTTTCCTATTTATTTGAGAGTAGACAAGGAAGAAGAGTGGAGAGAACAAAATGAGAGGAATGGTCACCTTGCTATAAAAGGTCCTCGGGAACATTCATAGACAACATTGCCACATCTCAAACATGTTACTCTCTGCTTTGTGGAGACAGAAAAAAGCTCATCATTGAATGTACCAGAACTTGGAATGTTCTTCCTCTTCCATTTTTCTTGTCCAGTAATGTTGCTTATTGGAACCATTTGTTTCTTAGGATAATGTTCTTATTAGAGTTACCCTGAAAAGGGAGTAAAATTTGGAAGTTTTGCCTTATGCATGTGCATGCTGATTGATCCTTCACTCTTAACCTGTGTTCTCTCATCAGATGGAGATAAACTACAGGAATGGGTGGAACTTAAAGCAGAGGGAGAAAAGGCTCCCAGAATACGTATTGCTCGTCCTATTACTGCTAGGCCATTTGAAGGCACAAGGAAGAGACGTAGAGCAGCCATGGGGGACTATAATTGGGCTATTGGAGATAGCGTTGATGCATGGATGCAAGATAGGTATTTATGTCTTTTTTGTATGTTCTTGCATTCTCCTAAGATGCATTTGGATGGCATCGGATGCGAACATTATAACATGCCCTGAAAAAAAATTGAAAGTACTGGATGAAACATTGTGAATGATTATTATATTGGAAGTAAAATTCAAAATCATAATTGTATCTGTATGATCAGTTGAAGCAATTGCACCACACTACAATGTTAAAAAGATAGCTGTGATTCTTTAAATAAGATTGTCTGTTGGAAAAATCAAAGAAACTGAACTGGTTTTCACATAGTTATCGGATGAATCCTCTTCAGATAACCAAGAAATCTGTAGAAATATTGATTGAAATTTTATAGTTATCTTTGCTAATAGTAGACAAATTATTGAGACATCAGTAAAGCACGAATGTGTTTCTGCATTTATTATTTTTATTTGGCAAATTCTGCTCTATATTTCTCATTCTTTGACCTTATCTCATGTTGATATTATTTCCTAGCTGGTGGGAAGGTGTTATCACTGAAAAGAACAAGAAAGATGAGACGTCTTTAACTATCCACTTTCCTGGTAACCCTTCTTATTCACAAGTTTCTTGATTGCTATGTTCTCAGCAGTGTATATGGAGTCCTTGTTTCAAAAGTAATTATAAGATTCTGATTGCAGCCCAAGGAGAAACTTCTGTTGTCAAAGCCTGGCATCTTCGTCCTTCTTTGATGTGGAAGGATGGTAGTTGGGTTGAATGTTCTATTTCTGGGGATAGCAGTTTCTCTACCCACGAGGTGCTATGCCTGCCTGTCTTGTACTTGATACTTCTCTAATGGTAACCTGTAAACTTCCAACTACTTTGTACTAAGCTGTTGATCTTTTGGTCAGGGTGATACTCCACAGGAAAAGAGACCAAGGTTACGTAGTCCACCTGTTGAAGCAAAAGGGAAACATAAGGTTTCAAAAGGTTCTGACGTTATGGACTCTGAGAAACCTGATGATACAAAGTTGCTGGATCTAACTACAAGTGAAAGGATATTTAATATTGGTAAGAACACCAGAAATGATAGTAAACCTGATTCGCTCAGAATGATACGTACTGGTTTGCAAAAGGAAGGATCTAGAGTGGTTTTTGGCATTCCTAAACCAGGAAAGAAGAGGAAATTTATGGAAGTAAGCAAACATTATGTTTCAGATCAGAGCAAAAGGAATCTTGAAACCAATGACTCAGTGAAGTTTCAAAAATACTTGATGCCTCAAGGAGCAGGAAATCGTGCAGCAAGAGGCAATCCTGAAAGTGAACCAAAGGAAAAGCAAATGGCTGTATCCAAGCCCAGGGCTCTCAAGTCTGGAAAACCCCCAAGTGTTTCTAGCAGAACCACATCTAAGAAGGACAACTTCTCAAATGCATCCATTTCCGAAACGGATGATGATGATGCCACAGATGTGTCAAAATCCAAGGATTCTGCTAGTCATGATGAGAATGCATCTGGAAAGCATAACATGGAGTTTAGATCGTTTTCAAGTTCTGAGGGAGCAGCAGAGGGTCCAATTTTGTTTTCTTCAGCTGGTCTTTCATCAGATGCTACAGCCTCAAAGAAAACATCAACATCAAATGCCAAATCTGAAAGGATGAGTAAAGGGAAACTTGCACCTGCTGCTAGAAAGTTGGTTAAAATTGATGAGGACAAAGTTTCCAACGGTAATTCTACAAAACCAACTTCTGATGTGCTTGAGCCTCGCAGATCTAATCGCAGGATTCAGCCAACATCACGGGTGAGTGGCTATATATATTGTTTCTGTGTGGATTTTGTTTGCCATTGTTTTTCATGCTTTGAACAAAATTTGAGGTTTCTAACTTTTTCTCAGTAATTAATCCCTGTTCAAATTTAATAGTTACCACTTTGTACCGTACTTTTTTTAATTTAACACTGCTTTAACGTTTTCACATTTTCTTGGATGGTTACCACTTGCACACTCCGTTGGCTATGTACTCTAAAATTTGATCTTGTTGCTTACAGCTATTAGAAGGGCTGCAGAGTTCGATGATCATCTCAAAAATTCCTTCAGTTTCACTTAATAAAGGTCACAGAAGTCAAGGCAGGAGTGCTAGAAGGTGAGATCTAATATTTCGGATTAACTTATATTTCTGTATTTTCACTGATTAGTAGGAGTGAAACTCATGGCTTGGTGTCTTGCTGACGACAGGGAATAACCATGGATGGTATGAGCTCTTGTGCAACTACAGGGATCCAGTCCAGAGAAACTCAGTGGGTACTGGATGACCAATATAGCATTTTGTGTATATTTCTTTCATGATAGAGGGAAAAAAAAACTAGGGATGGAAATTGTTTGCTTGGGTTTAACTTCAAGATATCTAGTAGTAGATGTTTATACTCTGATTTTTAGTTCTTCACAATTATAATCTGATCTCTTTAGGACCTTTCGTACTAGGTTGTATATGGAATACTTCCATGTAGTTTGGCTGGTTGGGTTGAATACTGCAGAGAAGCATTAATTTATCATCAATATATTTCCTGACTCTGAACAATCCAAGAATAAATTCTGCCTGCTATTGAAGTGTAGTTGTGAGAATTGAATAGCTAGCAAGCTGTTCGAGCTTGGCTCGTTCAATGAATGAGCCGACCTTACAAGCTCCCGATCAACTCGACTAGTATTAAAAAATAATAATAATAATAGTAATTAAAAAAAAATGTGAATATCAAATTCACTTTTGTTATGTTAATTTAAATAATGAATTTGAAATTACATATATTTAAAATTATATGTTTTTTTAAAAAATAGTATTTGTCGTCTTTTTTTCTTTTTTTAATTAAGAGATTATATTAAAATTAGATAGTTCTAATAAATTTTATTAAAAAAGATTAAAGCACTTTTATTTTAAAATATGGATAAGAGTATTTTCATGATATTTTATTAAAATGATATAATTTTAAAATAATTTTATTCATAATCTTTAGAGGTAAAATGGATTAGTATTAATTTTTATTTTAAATACATGTATTTAAAATACATTGTTTAAATATAAATTCAAGTTCTCAAATACAACTTAAGGGTAATTTAGTAATTTTAGTCTCAACATATACTTTTAATGTGTAATTTAAACTAAAATATATAAATCTCATATGAAAATGCAACTTAAATTACTAGATAAAGTGGGTCCTTTGGTATTAAAATTGTCTTTTTTACCTAATAACTATTAAGTTGTAATTCAACACAATTCAAATTATAGAATAGGAAACTCATAATTACATTTAAAATTTTAAATAAACAAATAATAAGTCTCTTAAATTGCACAATAAAAATATAATTGAAACATTAAAACAACTAAAATATTATCATTAATAATGAATCGACATATACTCTCTCTATCCAAAAATAATTATCATTTTTATTTTTGTTAAATTAAGGACTTGAAAGGTAATTCATATAGTTGTCTATATTATTCTTTAAAAAATTAAAAAATAAAGTAAGATTTTTTATAATAGGATAATTAATCAAAATAAATAAATAATGATAGAGTTAAAGTAAAAAAAAAAAATATTTGTCTATACTAAAACAAAAGACAATTAATTTAAGATAAAATTAAAATCAAATAAGAACAATTACTTTTGGGATGAAGGGAGTAAAAGAGTTTCATTAAAGGTATATTAATAAATTTTATAAATTCAATTGTACTTTTAATTTGTGTAAAACCCTATGTTAATCCTCCAAACTTATTTCAAATTCTCAATTAATCCTATAAACTTTTATTGATGTAAATAAGTTCTCCAACTTGGTAAGTTGGGCAATTTAACCATCTTTCTTTACAGCAAAATTATTGCCATTTGCACTTCATTTGTATAGACAAAATATTGCCATATCATTGTTTATGTAGTGGGTGTTAACCTTGTTTATGCAAATAAAGTATAGGGTGCATTTAGAATTGTAGTTGGGGAGTTTTTTCTTGTAATTGTATAATGCTTTTAGATATGTGTCTATTTGGTTTTTTTTTTTCAAGCTACTTTTTCTAAAAATTGTAAAAAATCATAACAAATTTACTGAAATTTTATATACAAAGGCAAAAGCCTCATTTTGGAGTTTTTTAACTATGGTTTTTATGAAAAATACTTAATATTTAATATAATTACAAAATTACCTATTAAAACTCAATTTCATATAATTCAATTATATCATAATTTATAATATTTTAATAATGGTAACAAATCTAAGAAACTTAAATTATTAAGAAGTAAATATTCTCTATTTTAATAATTATATATCTTATAATATTTTTAAATTTTTAATTAATAATTAATAAAATCTATTATATTTCATCTGTAATACTATTAAAAAAATAAATAATTAAATACCAAAATAATTTTCAGTCATACCTAACATAACAGAATTCAATATAAACACAACACTTCATAGCAATTTTAAATGCACTCATAGCCAGGTATTAAGTTTAGCATAAAGAAAATAATTAAATTATCCTAATCACCAAGTTTAAGAATTTATTTATTTAATAAAAATTTAATAATTTAATATAAAAAATCTGAGATAAATTCAAGAGGCTAATGTAGGGTTTGGCATTTATTTTGCAATCAAAAATAAGTTTTTGATACTATATTACAGACTCCATATTCTCATTGTGAGACTATATTTTCTTTATGACCATCAATTTCAAATTAGAAACAGTTGAATACAGTTAAATATACCAAAATCCAACAAAATAACCTCCAGAATAAATTAGCATACCTACTTAATCCTACATAATTAGCAAAAATATTATGAACAGTTGCAGCTCGAAGAAGTCTTCTTTACTGTACAAAATATCAAGCTGCTCGTCCATCCACAGAACCAGAGCAACTGAAACAAGTTATCAGTATGCTTCAGCTCTAATGGTGTGGTTGCAAGAGTTATCTTCTGTAATGAAAATAAGCATCCAAGACAAAAAGGCAGTGCCATCACCCATGAGACGAGACATTTTCTGTGCCATCACCCTGTTAGTTTGTCATCATTGTCTCCTAAAGACACTGGTGGTTTTCTCACATTTTTCTGCCCCATTCTTTGATTCTCACCATAACTCTCTCCTACTTGTACCCTGCTTCTGCTGGTCTCAACATCATTGAGAGGTTTCTGGCAGATACAAGAGTACGGATATTCATGAAACTCCCCCCTTCCTGGTCTCATCTCATCCGGCTCTCCCATGAATCCCCTCTGGCTTATCTTCACTTTTTTGGAAAAAGTATCCCAATCCATCTTATCCCTCGCCATCAACAAAGCACTAAGCTTCTTAGCATTTGGCCTGACGGTCCTCTTGTGTCCCATGTACCTCCTTCGATCCAGGCAAAAATAAAAGATCATGAAGAAAATGTTAGCATGGAATCTACAAACTATACCTTCGGTATTCATTGTTATTTAGTTATCTTATTAGTTATATCCCTAATTCTGCCGTCCATTCAGCATTAATTGAAGTGGTCCAATTATTGTGAGCAAATGGTCAAAAAACAGGACCACCTTTATTAACAAATATAAGCATGGAAGAAGAAATAACCACAATTCTCACCTTCGACCAGCAAGAATCTTGGCCATATTCCCATTGTTATTTGTGACAAAAACATCACTCTCATCACAGACAATATAGTCGATGGCAGCAAGGCGTGAAGAGTAGGGAAGAAAAGGTTTCAGCCCTTCATTAGCAATCATTTCTTTTGTATAGAAGTTTGGAAAGAGTTCTCTTAGAGGTCTGAGAGTCTCATCTCCTCCATATATTTCTCCAGATGCAACATAGACATATGTGTCATTTGCAAAACCGAGTCCC